TTAACGTTTAATCTAACGTTTGCTGACATGAACTGCGTCAAGTAAAATTTGACTGAATGTATAACCATGGAGGAAGGACACAAACGGAGTTACAACTGTGGCACATTAAAGTGCTCGATGATCATCGCCACCTGGTCAGACGAACAATAGTAGCCATTCCAAAAATGCCTGATTACTGCCTGCAGCTTAGCTGGACAAGTGGGGCCAGTAATATCGTAGCAATATTTGTGGTGTTTTCTTTGCAACTAAATACAATTTGTGTTGTTTTCTTTGCAACTAAATACAACTTATCGTAGTGACCAGGAAATAGAAAGAAAAGTGTCTATCTGTTAGATTTACTTTTGTCTTCGTGAATTTTTAAAAAAGATTTTGATGCACTTTTGCATTATCCACGTAATGTTTGTAATTTTATTTTATCACTCCAAAACATCAGTTTTTAAAGTTTTTGTACGAATTTGGCTAAGACTGACCAATAACATGTTGACAGTCACAGGACAGTTAAGTTCGCAGAAAACAAAACCTGCTGTTTCATCACAAGGAGTGATCATGAAATTTCATAAAATACCATTTTGTGTAAATTCCGTAAATAAAAATTATTAAAATAAAAAACAAAGTCTTATCAACAACTTGGCTATTTATTCCCAATATTATTCCAGAAGAAAGTGTTCGATTAGAGCAATAACTGCATATAAACCGTTCAGGTACACAGCCTAATAAAAGCAACTGCGCGAGTATTAAATTTGATGATGTTGTCAGATCGTACAAGCACCAACGATCGCATGAATATTCAACTTCCTATACTTCAGTACACGATATTTTAAGGATGAAGATTACCAGCGAAAAGATGCGGCAATGACGGTACTAAGGGCTTATGGTTGTCATTCGCAGCGCTCTGGCTATTGACATACCGGGTATTCCAGAAAGCGGTAATTGGCCAGATGTTGTAGCCAGGGCAGTTCAAACTCCTTCTGTGTCCTTCCTCCATGCTATAACTCATTATCTGCAGATAAGTAAATCTTTGCAACGTTGTACAATCTCGTTTTCACGTTGCAGCATATGGAATAAAAGCATTAACGAAAAGTTTCAAGTGCACAAGTTTGACTGGCTGTGTAAAACAATGACTACAGACAAACTAAATGTTCTAAAACACGGTTGTAAAAATGGGATTTAATATTCGTCGTTGCCAACTTGAGATATTTAAAGTTGAATTTGGACAAAAGTTGCTGCGTTAGTAGGAAAAGGGCATTATGCCCATAAAAGGTAGTACACTAGACTGATATTGCCGGAAGTGAATGAAATCTATTTTCACCAATTCCCTGGTGACTTTTCCAAAATACTATGTTTCTTGGATGAAATCATTCTTACCATAAGTATCGAAACGTATCGAACGTTTGGTCCCCATAGACTGTACGTGCATTAAGTGCATTCGCTCATGCGCAATAGTGACATATTAGGCTATTTCCCTTGAAGACATCGTGTGTGAATACATTGTCATGAATCTACCTAATGGTAATATTAAATAGCTCTGTGTAAGAAAGACCTCCGCAAAAGAATCAATGAAGTGGAAAGTGTGAATTTTATGACAAAGGATAATGATGGAAAAAAAAAAATTTTTCACCTAACTTTGTATCCAGTATTCACAATTTTGCCTTTTTTGGTTTACCTTCGAATAAACTTGATGCCACATGGAAGACTTATAACTCGTATGATCAAAAAAAGCTTATTTGTTCACTTCGTTTTTCATTGGGGCACATTTTCTTCATTTTTCACCTCACGTTGTGCCCAATTTTCACACTCTTGTCGAATTTCCCTCCGGACATCCGTGATATTCTTCGGGAGACTGAGAAATTGTAACTTTGTGTCCGTCAGCTCACTTCATCAACATTGAGGGCCATTTGTCTGAAATGCGGTTTGTGTTTCATGCGGATTCAAATTTCCGCACTGAGTCCGACAGCGGTCAAAAGTGAGATGTCCGGATTTGGGGCATGGCCAAGACGTACACGCACCAGTTGCCTTTTACATTCATTGCACTATACGTACAATCACATCAAATTGCTCAACTAAAAGGCACAAAATGAGACTGTTCTCATTCATACGGTTTCCTTCTTGCGTGATACGTACTCAATAGAGGGTTTGTGATTTTCCTCACCATTAACAAGTAGAGACATGTCAGGGAAAACTTGGCAAAACTGAAAAAAAAACCTCTAAAATGGTGGCTTCCCTTCCCAATTCTGACTCTGTTACTTTGGAGGTACGTGATAAAGACGCGTAAAAATTTGGCAGAAAATGGATTTTTATCGTTTGCAAGTTAGCAAAAGGGACCTTGAGTGTTTAAATTCTAATTGGTTTGGAAATGAGGGGGAAACAACTGTATCTAAGAGCGATGCTGATCTATTATTTATGATCAACCGGCCTTAGTCAAACGCCATTTTGCTGGCTTGTGCAATTCAGTACGCATGTGCACAATCTAAGTTGAAACATACGTGCAGGACAGCCACGTAAAATCCCCAGAGGCCGACCGTGCGAGGGTTCCGGAAGCTTGCTGCGCCAAGTTACTTTCAGGCTCAATAATAGGTGGGTCGAATACAAATCAGTTCATGGCATGCTAATACTGCATGCTTTTGGGCTGTATTTCTTATATTAGAGTAAAACATTAATTAATCTAATACATGAACAAATGGTTTTGCATGTGCGTCATTCTATAAATTTTGGGTCCAAAAGTGTGACATTTTTGTGTCCCAGTGACATCTGACCTTTGTTATTTGACACGAAAATATCACCGGAATTGATTTCAGTCTTTTACTATTTGTTTAGAAGGTACTTTGTATCAATTCACCACTCTTGGAAATTAGAAACTGTGTTCTGAACTTACAAAATCATATGTCAGATGTGACATGTAAAAAAATGGACCCCTAATTTCTGGAATTACCCATGTGTAAATAACACAAATCATGTAAAGGCGAACCATCCATGATATGATGAACACATAAAAAGACATTATTCGAGCTAGATTACTTCATACATATAACGCATTTAGAAGACACCAACTCTCATACTCTGCCTGTTACAATTAAAGTTGATGTGTTTGCATGCCGTGCTGTCGATCACGGCGATGCCGTTTTCACATCATATGAACTATTATTTCTATCTGGCCACCCGTCCCCAGGTACTTGTAGCGAGGGGCAATTTCCCCGCCGTATGAAGCGTCTTAAGTCCCCGTCCACCAGGCGGGTACACCACGGTAATTTGCTCAGGTTTAAGGATGACATGTCGACGACTGACAGTTTGCGTTCAGAAGCCGCACGTTACCATTAGTGAGCCCTTGCTTCTTTCTGACAGCACGTAATCTTGTAGAAGTGGTGAGAAGTATAACCACTGCCCCAGACGGGTCAGAGCAGTTTGCCAAGAACAACGAGCAGATCATGTTCCTCCGCTAGTATCTGGGTCGACCTATGCCCCTGGCCAAGTCTTGCTTCAGCTGTCAGGCAGCCGCATTTGCTGGCCGAAGTTCGCAATCGACATCCCAATTCTGCGAAAGTAAACTTCTGGGCGAAAACATCAGGTATACCGGTACTAGGTTTTGAGTAAATAATAACGATATTAATGAGATTAAAATTAGGAAGTAAAAGGTTAAAAAATTTCTCGGAAATTTTGTGCCAAAAAAGAAAAAAAACCTGGAAAGATTTCAAAATTTCAAAACTTGAGGAGAACTTTGCAGATAAAAATACTATCTTCGCCATAAATAATCGTGAATAATTCAGTCAATCGTTCTGGTTTAATGGACATCATAATCCATGTTTTAAAGTATGTGTAGTACAAATTGGGAGAGTTGAAAGTCGCTAAAATACCCTGAAAGTAAATATACTGCAATGTCTCCCTCTTTCTTCCGTGGCTTCTTGCTGTGAAACCAGACCTTGTGCATCGATCGAGTAATGGAAAGTTGGTTTGCACAGCGGTCATCTCTAGACAGTTGCAGAGAGGAAATCTTCTGGCAGGACCGGAGAATTAGAAAGATTATTGATGTGGGCGAGATCTACGGTCGATTTGGTATGGCACAACACACCTGCTCCAAGTGCCACCATGGTGCGTCGAGAATGCACACACCTTAACTGGATTACAGGTCGTGTAAGACTGTGCACTTTTAACACGTTCATCTCCCTGTTCAAACTACAATCCGGTGCATGCACATCGAGGGTAAACTACAAGGCTTGGAACAAACATGGGGGAAAAAAATAACGATTCTCTTTTGAAGTGATCTCAGACAGTAGCTGTCATTGCACGGCCACGAGGGGTTTTGATGTGCTGGGGGTGTGGTGAATGGGGTATGTATATGGGGAATGTTGGTGTGGATATACATGATAATCCGTATCTTGTAGCAAAGAAAAAGTCTATCTTCATCAGAAGGAATATCGTACTCTAGCCATAGGAGAAAATGAAGGATCTTGCACACCAGACAGATTTATGGGAACAATTTAATAAACCTGCTTTGTTGTCATGTTTCTCGCTCGTTTTAGTCGTAGGCCCTATGTCAATTCACTCCTTGACACGAATTGCCACTGCTCTGTGTCCGCTGATTGTCATGACGATGTAATTGGGTCGAGCTATCAATGTGCGTGCGAAAGACCCAAATCAAAAGCAGCCATTGACCAATACCAATTTGAAGGAGACAGAAATTGGCTTCGATTCGGTCCAGCTGGCCAGACCTAAGAACTAAGCGCTAATGTCTCTCGCTTATATCAACACTTTCTGCAACACCGTCTCGAAAAAAATCCGCCGACTCAATGCCATCGATTTGTTATAGGTATCACGTTTGAGCTTGTTTCAAAGGTTGGGTAAGTCAGTCTAGAGCTAATTTGAACAAGGTCCAGACTCTGAAGCGATCAATCACGCGAGTTGATCTCGGGGCCGAGCGACCCCGGGATGGAGACGATGGCTGAACAATTGCTCGGATTGCGCGCGCAGCTTTTCCACGAGGCGTGCGTTGGGGTTGATGCCTCGGTGCCACCGAACGCCTCCACAGACCGACTTCAGTGACAGGGAGGTGAGCATTGGAAATCACTGTCTGTTCGTGAAAAAGAGGTTGAAGGTATTAGAACTATCCCTACAGGAAGGCAGTGCTGCTGCACCGAACCCTGATCAGGCCTATCCTTTGCTTGCTCCTAGTCCTACAAAGACAGTATTACATTGTACGGATACGAAAGACAGCAGCACCGCGGGCCAGGCTCATTATTGCCGGTTTGGCTATGACGGAGAGTTCAGCGGCTTCTCGACAGGTAAATACATGTACATAGAAACTCTTGTCATGATTCTGCACAAAGGTTAGAATTAATTCTGGAGTGGCCAACTGGAATGAAGCCAGTGTAAGCAACCAACTGTTCGACGTCAACTGCATAGACCGATGCAATGTAATGATTACGTGAAAGTTTCTGTCACCAGCTTTTTGTAGTAATTATTGATGCTTCCCCTCCGTGATTTTGAGAACAAAGGTCTGACAGACGGACGCGCGCCATTGTCCCGACTCTTTTCTTTTGACTGAGAACTAATCCGGCCGTTACCATGAGTGACAACCTCTTCATAGCAACTGCTGTGTTTCACCTGTGTATCTTTGTGATCGGTGTTCCGGGCAATTTCCTTATTCTTCAGGTTTTTGTCAAGAAAACTCGCAAGACCAGCACCAATGTATTCATTACGGCACTTGCATCGTCGGACCTGATAGCCTGCTTGTTACGACCGTTCTATGTGGGGTTCATTATGGCACGTAACACCCCAGAATCGCTTTGGATTGAATTCTTATATTCTCCCCTTAATTTTGTCACAATATGCAACTCGACTCTGCTCACTGCAGCCATTGCTTTTGACCGTTACGACGCAGTGTGTCGCCCGCACACCAGGTTGATGTCATACCGCGGCGCACAGCTTCTGGCCCTGTTCTGTTTCATAGTATCATTGCCAATGACAGCACCGATTATTCTTATGTACTTCCATCCTCCCGTGTCTGTCCGTCTAGCCAAGCACATTGAGTGTCTTAGCATGTATGTCATATCTCTCATCCTGGTTATAGCGTTCTACGTCCAGGTTTATAAAGCAGTCCTTTTCCGTACCAAAGTCCGCACCAAATGGGGCGGCCGTTTCACTGGGATATCCACAGCCGCAGAAAGCTCTGTCTGTATGACAGGTCAGACGGAAATGTCAGCCATGCCACCGTCCCGTGAGTTCACAAGACTTAATTCTGTCGCAGAGACAAGGACACCACCAGCTGGGAATCACGTTGAGGAGGGTGCAGAGCCATCAGCACCTTGTCAGATTCCTCCACCCCAGTGTTCACCTGCAACCAACCCAACGGCTGACTTGGAAATTTCTTGCGTGAGCGAAGACAAGAGGTCCATTGCTTACCAGAGTCTGAGCAACAGTGAAGCGCAGGCTGGGGATTTTCTGGACTCAAGACTAACTCCCCCCTGCAGCTCAGTGGCGAACCCTACTTATTCCCCCGCTTTTCAAATGCCGATATCGAGCACGGCGGGTAGGAACCTAGCCGTTCCAAACTGCTCGCAGATTCCAGCAAGCAGCAACTTCCCGGAGAGGACGGGATCGACGGGAAGACACAGAAGGCCAAGTGGGCGAGGGAAGTCCTCAAAGACCGTTGCAGCAAGGATGCAGCATAAGACGACAAGAATGCTTCTCCTGACTACCATTGTGTTTTTTGTCACCTGGGTCCCATATATGTGCGTGTCTTCATTGAGCGTGCATCATATTCTCACCCATATACATGTACATGTACCCATAAATGACACACTATCAAACAACACACTATCAAACAACATACTGTCAAACAACACACTGTCAAACAACACACTGTCAAACAACACACTGTCAAACAATACACTACCAAACGGTACTCATCAAACAACACTTGATACACTGTCACTAGTGTTCAATACTGCATCTCATTTCTTATTCATCAATAACGCGGTTAACCCTTTTATCTATGTACTAGCCAACCGGCAGTTCCGAAATGACTGCATACGAGAAGTTCGTAAGTTACTGCGACGCTAGGGTAAATGTTGATCCCATTCCATTGGTAAGTTAAAATTCCACTGAGGCTAAAGCATTTTAAATATTCATGTAATCCTTTTACCCTTTTCACATGACCATGTTGTCTGTTAATTAATTAACACTTGGCATCTCCTTCTATGTCTTGTAAGTAACACCTAATTTTGTATACTTGTTAGATATAGAAAAGAGCCAAACAAACTAAAGGGGGTAATCGATTCTGTATGTGCCACAATAAGATTGACGACTGTTACAAATTTTAGTACGTGTATTCATTTTGAGAGAAAACAACATATGGTTATTTCTTTGTTTCATGAGGCCAGACTGTCGCTCTTCACCTAATAAGATGAAGGGCAAAGCTTTTTTGGGAAAAGGTGCCATACTCATGTTACTCCTATAGAAACTATTACAAACTAAAACTATAGAAATATTACCCATGGTCCCAGCGCCCTGCTTAGTGCAGGAAATGCTTTACATTTTTAAATAGGTTTTAAAAATTAGCACTGACTGTATGGTTCATAATGAAAACAAAAACATGGCGCTGAACTTTTATCTGTTGGCCGAAGCAGCGTGAAATGGTCTGTGTCCGTAAAAGTTTTTGCTGTCTTTTACACAGCACAAGTGCTTTAACTGAGGCGCGTGATGACCGTTGTATATTAATTTGACTTTGAAAAAGAAGGATAACACTATCTACATCATACACTATATTATACACTGGGTCTATATTATCTGTTTCGGCATGATCTATGCTGTGCGCAAATAGCTAACCACATAACGAATTTGTCTGAACACTCAAAATCTGCGGAGCCTACACATCCTGTGCTGCATTCAGACATTTCCCCTGTCCAGTCAAATTGTACCGGACTGTTCTTGCTTTGCTTTATAGAAACATCAGCGCAATGTTAAAAGACCAATGATTGGAAATCAGTTAAGACTAAATACTCTGTGCTGTGTAACATTCAAAGGTACATTTCATTTCACAGAGGTGAAAGCTCGGTATTTTTATGATTTACACGTTGGACCCTTGTCATGTTAGCCTGTGCAATGAAAATTGAGGATAAGCTAGCAATTTTATGTCCCCCGGTATTCCCTCATTAAAGAAAATATCAAGTGGTATTGGTGAGTCGGAGAGAATTCCGCTCTTTTACGACACAATATACCTTGAATGATTGAATAAAAAATAGGTGTAAAAGCATTTCTGTAATTATGTATACATGTATAGCATAAACTGTCATGATGCTGTTGTCTAGTAGACTACTTTTTCGTCAGGTAGAATACATGTAGATTTATATGTGAAAATGGATGAGATAAGGGACCAGAGGCTTGCATTAGGGCTTCAAAATCAAACATTCATGGACTCACACAGTTTACATCTCCATGGATGAGCTATATGCCCCAGAATAAACATTGTAGGATGCTGTGTAGGGCAAGAAATCGGGAAGAACATCACTAATCATTGAATCAAGGTAGTCTAAGCCGATAAATATCTGGGGATTAGACTCCCCTCGACTGAGCCATAAAGCTTCTTACAGACTGATCAGTCACATCAGACTCTCTACAGCATTTGAAAAATCATTGCTCTGTAAAACCCTGCTGGTTCCCATGACCTCACCTCTGTGAATTAAAACTCAAAACTCAAAAGCATTGGTATGGAATTTGTAGAAAATACGCACCGTTCAACGCTTCTTGAAGTTCATGAAACAAGTAATGCATGTACTGTTATTTTGGTACCGTAATCGAACATTACAGAAAAGGAAAGAACGAGTGAGACTCGCGCATGAAGTGGTGACCATTTATTTGACTTTTCTGTGGGCTTTTAAGAATAATGTCAACTATGTGCCGTTACCACGGCGTATGTCTAGCCATAATTCATCCTGTCTAGGAAAGTAGAGGTTTCTCGCAGTCTTTCCTTCTGACAAAAATTTGAAGTTTGTAGACACAAAAAACCTGAGCCTATCAATCGTTTCCTATTTATTTCAAGTAAATAAGGTAGGAGCCAAGGCTGCATAAGGCTGCGACCCTCAACATGCAACAATTTATTCATACTCCAGCCAACACATACCTTTCCACGTGGTGGTTTGTCCTAATGCGCTTAAAATTGAAGCGGAGCAGGGAATTCTAAACAAACAGTCACAAATGGATACTGCATGTGGGAGACACTCTCAGAACAAACTCTGTTTTGTTGACATTCTCTTGAATCCAACCCTAAATTGAATTTGGAATTTTACATCCACACACAAAAGAGGGGACCATGGGATTATTTCATTACGAGATCCTTCGGCAAAGGCCAGGTCACGAAAAGGCCGAGAGAGCAAAACGAAATGCCAAGGATGGATTCACAATCGTCTCAGTAATACTCTTAAACAAGGCCGTGTGCTGCATTGTGGTCCGCTCACAAGCCCTGACAAAATAGGCCTATAGGTCCAGAGGAGGGAGACAGCCAAGAACACATAAGATTGGAAGGGCGACTACAATGCTTGCTTGTATGAGCGGTATCATTAAGGAGGGATTTCAGACGATGTCATGACAAGGGCAACAATGTAACAGTATCAACTGCCCATTTTGATTTTTCTTGTTAATTGAGACGTAAACCTCATGCACGACACATCATCATCTCGGGTGTTACTTAGCGCATCAAGAAACCTTTATGTAAATGTTTAAAGGAATGTACAAGATATGATGTAGGATAACTACTACTGTGTAAAAAATATGTCATAAAGCAGCTCCCTAGCACGTAATATTTCAAACTGTTGCAATGTACATTCGTATGCCATGTGTCTTAAAGGTAGTGACTAAACATGCAAAATGCGAAAAGAAATCGCGAACTGACTAACTAAAATACTTGTAAAATTACTTGCAAAAGCTATTACTTGATACTAACATTGCATTTTGTAACACATTATTTCACTTAGCGTGATACAATTTTCCCAAACGATTGAGCCATCAAATTGACCCTTGTAACTTTAACAATCCAAAATTGCTGAGTGCCTTGCAGTGCTCGGATATGCTAACTATAATGAATGAAGGAAGCTTACACACCATTGGGGAAACGTGTATAATTTGGCAACTTGTGGGTGAATCACTTCAATCGGACGACAGACATGACAACAAAAGCTGACACTTGAAAACTCTTAAACAGACGGAACGTACGCATTTTACTGATGCAACCTGACTGACTTTGACGTAGACATTAATAAGAGAGACAAACAGTGCTAGCGACGATAAATTTCATCTATTTTGGGGAATACAAGCTAAAGAGTGAAATGACTGTGTCCAAAGACTAGTTTGACAGGGTTCGGTTGACAACAGCAGCCTCACTGACATTCGACGAAATACGACTTGTGACTGACCTGACCATCAACGTATCACCGAGCCCATTTACCTTGATGACGAGGAATTATAGGAATGACAAACTGGTACGGGCAAAAGTGACTGAAAGTTGATCTCTAATGGCACGCTTCTGGAACTCTTAGATCGGAAAAATTACTTGTACAAATTTGAAAACCAAGCCATCATTTTTGTTCAGTTACTTCTTAATATGTAGCTCACAAAAGGGCCTCTGTCAAATATTTGCTTGTATGGCAATTTACAGAAACTGAAATATTACCTGAGCTACAAGAGATATACCCTGCCAAAAATTGGCCTAGCACTTCCAAAAATCTAATATACGTAAAGAGCATTGCAATTCGAGCTTCTCGCAGGCTGATGAACAGTTACAAAACGATATTGTATGGTAATCTTTCGGTAAAAGCCAAAACAAAAACAGATCAAGATATTTAATTTAAGCATTCTATGATTTATAAGGCCATAAACTTAAAGGAATAATCTGTGTTTACAAAAGAGTCTAAAGTTTAATTTAGCCTTTGATGACAAGAACTGCGTCCGGTCAACTTGACTGAATCTATAAATAACTCATTGACCGCAGGTGGATAAATTTTTGCAACGTATAATTTCGTTTTCACGTAAGCATGGAAAATGTAAACAAACGTCCATGAATAAGGAAGCCTAGGAATAATTACTGGAAGTGAAAGGTCGTTAACGGAATTCGTTTTTTACCCATCTCCAGGTGACTTCTTTAAATATTACTTGAGGAACGCAAAAGGTAAAATTCCAGCATGAGTCTTACTTGGGTGGTTTCAGTTGAGAATCATTCTTCCAAAAATTATCGAACGTGATAGGACGGCCCCATGTAAAATCCCTTTGGCGAACCGCGCGAGGGCTCTGGAAGCTCGCTGTGGATGCGCGACATTTCAGTTTTAAGCTCTGATGTACGAGCCTTTGGATTTGACAAGTAGACAGACTCAGCGGGAAACAGCCGTTAAATAAATGCACAGCTGCTGTAATATACAAGTGAACTTTTTGCTTTATCATGCCAACCTTGGACTTTTAATTAATGCGACCGTGAAACTGTTGCATGTTTACTGTAATATTACCTTCAAGTTTATTACATGTCATATTAATTACAGGTATAACGAAGAAGCTTGTAAAATGTATCGGTGACTCGTGTCTGAGTAAAATGCTATTACCATCGTGAAATTGGAAAATAACGTTTTTAATCGTTGAAAGACAACGCATTGAAATCATGTAACGCAGCTAGGAAGCCAAAAATCCTTACGATAGCTGAATATGCACTACGAATAAAAGGTGGTAAATCGTGAAAAGAAGATTTTTTGTAATAAAGACAAAGATCCGTGCTGCTCATACTTTGTATGTATTTTGTGATTTATTCGTCGTCATGTTTCCCCGGTGTAGTTCACTGTGTTCTCCAGTGGTTGTTCCTGTGGCGATTGTTTATATTAATCAAGGAGGGATGGATGCGAGGGAAAAGGAGAAGGTGACGGGGGTCTGGTGGAAGCATCGAGCCACAAGATGCCGTGGGTTATAGGTAACAGCTGCTGTCCTCGGAGGCTCGCGCCAAGATATCGGCGCCGGGCTCTGGGGCCATGCAAAGGGAAACTTTTGAAACCTTTGACGTGGTTATATACCGTCAAACGGCTTTCTTTGCAAGTTACTATGCTGGAAATTGCAGTTTAATCGCGTATGGTTTAATATCAGATTTTTATAAAGACCTGTGACAAATTCAGTTCAAGTATTACTTTTCTGACAGGTAATAATCATGATACAGTATACAGTTTGTTTTTTCATGACCTCTGTCCTTCTATCCTTAAAGGATTTGCCATTGTTGCAAACAATTAAGGGAACCACTCTGACCAGATTTTGTTTAAAAACAATACAAACCATTTTTAATTCCCAGAAATGTAATTTCACTCTATCATCCAGCGAAACTTTTTGAAAAGACATGGGATGACATAAAGTCGTGAAAACAACACGCGGTGATCAACAAGGACTGGAAGTGGAAAAATAACTAATATAGTGAATGTTCTGTCCCGTATTACGCAAAGCCAAGTAATATAAAATAATCAGTCTGATACCGAAAAATCAGCTGTTTCATACAACCTATACAAATCCTCTTTGTGCACAAGTCGTCCTCTTGAAAAGGTAAAATTGCAACACGAAATTGTCAGGTTACGGATCAGTTCATGCTTTGACAGACATTCCTGTCTGTGTCTTGAAAATTACTCTTACCGCTTGAGAGCATATATAATTTGTTTTGTGTTTCAAATAACATATTAGAAGCATCACTTACGAGTTCACAGATGTCTTTATTTGAAAAGAATGACAGGTACTTCACGGTTATCGTAAGCTGTTTACTATTTTGTGTGAAGAGATGCATGCAGCGCTTATCCTAGCCTTTCGTCAAGGCCTTCGTGGCCGTGTGTGTGTAACTGCAAAGTGACTGGACAGGGACCAGGCGAGTGGCGCAACCACTAGGCCTTTTCCAACCTGATTTTGTGTTTTTCGTGGTGAATTATTCATAAGCTTTCTGTTATGCATTATTCATAAATTTCATTTAAATAGTTGAAGCAGATGAGTCTCCGAAATAAACAGCCTCAACTCCAAAGCTTACGCAAATACGCATCTGGTTTTTCATGAGGGCAATAAGCGGTGAGATGACAGCTATGATCCTTGTTGGTGAGGGACGGTGCTGACGTTGGAGTAATACTAGTAAGTAGCAGTTCATCAAGGCCGAATGGTCAAAGCAAAACGGCAGTGCTTGAAATATGGAGCTCTTACCATATCCCGTGAGTAGAGATGAAAACGTCACGCCCGCGTACAGATGCTTCAATAGCCTAACGCTACAATGGTTTAAACTCGGCAAGGTGAAATTATCCAGCAGCACAATTTATTGTAAAGAACCGTTCAAATACTGCTCAGACAACTGACCTGCACTCACGGCCGCCGACACACTTGACACGCTCGCCATCTTTCGTATACTTTCAACTTGCATAATAGGTTAATTTGTGCTGACCCCCTCACTTATGATTGGTTGGGATTTTGTAGCAAAAATCGAAAACAGAAAGAAAACATACGAAATTCGTGACCAGTTGGAAAAGGCCTCGTGGCTGTGCCTTTTTTCACGTGGTCTCCGGTCCAGCCGCTTTGCAGTTACACATACAATGTAAACACAGCCGCGAGGGCCTTGTCGAAAGGCTACGATAACTACGCGTAGCACAAGGGTTTTCTTTTGACCAAAATGAGCTCCTTTTACAGCTCTGCATTGTTCGCACTGTTTCTGTGGTTGATCATGTGCCCCATGTGTTTGTCCGAATAGTTCCTGTCACGTGATCTGCAATTTACCAAACAGATAACGGTCATTTACTCAGGCATTGTATAAAACTGAATATAGACCAATCTGAGGCGACGCTACTACAGTGACATCACACTCATGCGAGCATCGTTGAGCACACTTTTGCAAGCTACAACTCCATGTTGGTCGAGGTATTGAATTCGCGCGTACCAACTGGTGTGGTTCGGCAAGCATAGCCTAATGGTGTCTAAGGCCGTGTCTGAATTACTCGGCTTTGGCTTAATATTACGCACGAGTTTATGGTAGTGGCCATAGACAGTTTCCATAGAGTAGTGCGTAATTTCAAGCCATGGCCAAGTAATTCGGACGCGGTCTTTCATTCTGGTCGCCGGATCGGATTAGTCTGTTGGATAAGACAAATAATCGAACGAGTGCAATGAAGGAAGTAGAGACTGAATTTAACAAATGGTTAACATACATACAGGTGGGAAAAAAGGGTTAAACAAGAACAGACTTGTAAAGGAAGGGAGGGGGACGAAAGATGCGGCAAGTAACTACAGACGATTGTGATCTAGGCCTATATGTTATGTTTTGTTATGTTCATACTAAACCTCAAGTCGGAAATACATGGGAAGGTGGAAGTGCTTGGGGATGGGCTAGCAGTTGGTGCGTGCATGTTTGTATGAGCCCATGTACGCCTTTTAAGGTTCTTCCTGACTATGTTATGCAATCAAGTTACTTTAGTTTCTATGTCCACCCCCTCTTTCTTTCCCCTTTCTTTGAATTTCGGGGAAAGCTTGAAGGGGTGGGGTGATTAACGTCTGCCTGTCGTTACTCCATCGGATAACAGATGAAATATCGACGGCCGGCTTCTGTCAGATTTTGCAAAGGAAAACTTGAGAATCTGATGATATTTGGCAACTGAACATGTTTGGCCTCATCAACGAGATTTGGTATGAGGAGTACCGGTACATTAGCAGAATACAAACTAAGCGTGCTTGATGAAATTGTGACGTACTTGAGCTCATAATGTGATGTGTGTCGACAGCGAAATGACACAAATAGGCCTGTTGGACGTCGATGTAATGACGTTACTCACAGCGCCTCGGCTCCTTGCCCCGACGACTGGTTCATGCTTATCGTTTTTCTGTCAAATAGACCATTCGTTAGAGTGGGAGGATGCACTTAACGTGCATCGAAAATCGAAAACTGTCTTGCTGGTTTTCTGGCCCTAGACATCAAAAAATCAAAACATTAAAATCGCAATAGTGACCCGCCAATAACTCACCGCCAAGCAGCGTCCTATACGAGCTTTACCTTGTGGCGTATTCAGGTTATGAATTGGGCGGGGGGTTCGGCAATTGTTTGTTTGTTTGTTTGTTTTTTCAATTTTGAAAAAGTTATCTAGTTTTTCCATCCATGAATAATTTTCCTTTCCCAAAAGGAGTTCCAAGGTCTGTTTCTAAATAAAATTTCTAAATAGAAAAGCAACATGTTCCAGGGCAGCAAGTTACCCCCCCACCACCACCACCACTATCAGCTGGAAATGCGACCAGCTTAACCCTTCTTTTGGGATTTCAGTTGTGAAATGTTGTTGACGACGTTTGCGCTGCAGGTTCGATAAATCGAAGATGCAGTTGCAAGGAATGTGCACTCTGTCACTTGCCAATTAAGAGCTGGGACCTTGGTAGGAAGTGATTTGCCTTTATAAGGTGACTGAGATGAGATGACGCGACGTGTAGGAAACAAGAAAGACGGGAGGGTTAGTAATAAAATTTCTAGGTCACTGAATTGAAGAGAAAAGATCAATTACACCTTTACCCCTTTATGTAAACCTCTTTCATTTGGAGATTCATTTGGGGAACAAGAAATTGTGATAGTAACAAGATTTTGTTGATGACTCCAACACATGAGCAATTGTGAGATTACACATGGTAACTGGTGAAGTGAAGATCTTCTTTTTCCAGAGACACCTTTTTATTTCTCTTATCAACACAAACTCAACAGCAAAAGAAAAAGAACAAATAAGGGCTTAAGCCATCACCTTGCCTACAACCTCGCTCTACCATAAATGATTCTGAAAGAAATCCGTTTACCAAGATTAAGGAGGAGGTGTGGTTATGAAATAGTTTAATCCATCTAATAATTGAGGGACATTTTCTCCGTTAAATTAAGTAAATCATGCATCACACGGATGTTTTCGCCAATGAAGCCCCTTCCATAAAGCCTTTTTGACTGTCGTGGGTAATAGGAAAAAACATTGTTTCAACCTCTCCGCAATACAGGCAGAGGCACTTTTATATGAGGTATTCAACAGGTGATAGGTCGCCAATTTTTAAAAAACTGGCAGGGTTTACCATTTCTCTAGGTCACCGAAAGCTGACCAGACTCGTACGCAAAATTCAAAGACCTTAAAATTAAGAAACCACTCTCAATCATCGCTAAAAACTTGTAAATTCGTAACTAATCATCAGAGCCAGGAGATTTTCCATTTTTACAACCATTCGAAGCTTTGGTAATTTTTTCATAAATCAATGGACCTTCAATGCGGTCCCGCATATCTTTAGTAAGGACATTTCTCCCTGCCTCAACAAAGATTGGCGTTAAGATTTCACGAAAAGAATAAAGTTTCTTATAGCCTAAAACTCGCTCGCTTCTACAAGGATATCATCACTTCGAGTCAAAGTACACCCTCGATTTCAACCTGACACAAACTAAGAAGCTCCGCGTGTTAGTATTGAGACCTTCCACCGCCTCTAGATTTCCTTCGCACACTTTGTTATGCAAATCAGAGATTTTGCTCTCGAGTTCACGATCGGCTTTACAAGCTTCTTATGTTTTCTAAGCAGCAAAAGAAATAGTCTTAGAACGAATCCGTAAAAGAAGCAACTCAAAAAAGCTGATCATTGATTGTGAACTGAATATCTCTGGGGTGAACATTTTTAAGGTTATCAGGTTGGTAAGGAAAAGCTGCATAACCCTTCACCACTTCGCGTATTGTAGTTTTAACTAATCCCGCATAAGCGGGATCAGAAAGCAAAGAATCGTTGAATT